GCCGTATGGAACTGTGTTCCGTTGGTGGTTTGCCTTGAAAAGGACGAACGAGGATTAGGATTTTCTATTGTTGATTACCAAGTAAGTTGGTTTTTTGGAAGAATTTCGCAATAGCTCTGAAATTTGTCCTTATACTCCCAAGGGCCATTTGTCTAACATTTATCTTTCTGCTTGGTTGTGCAGCCAAACCCAAAAAGCATCTCTCTGCTTCTTCTACGAAACTAAATTAGTTCAAGAGCGTTTATCTCAATTTATCATGACATTCAAATTGCTCACGACATTGGCAAGCTTTTCCTTTGGCCTAAGAGGGATTTCCAAGAACGGAAGAACCTTCGTTGTTCCTCGCTAATTGACTTTTCTGGAATTGCGGCCTTTCCCTCAAGTTGTTTCTTACCTAGGGATCCCCTCACATATCAGTCATCCTCAGTACTTATTTGAGCTTAGGCAATCAACCTCTGCTTATTTTGGCGGTAGTCAACCTCTGGCCTTATTTAGGGTCGGGTAGAGGACTAGATATTCAGACGGAGGGTAAAAAATGTTGAGTGGAAAACTGAGGCTTGGCAGCAATCTGAACAAACGCTCTATAGGTTACCGAGAGGGAAAAAGGAGGGGAAAATGGCTCATAATGACTCGCACCGGTGGGTGTGCGCCATGCTTCGGCCCTCTTTGGAAATTGTGAAGGCATTTGGGTGTTTCTTCCAGTGCGTCCTTCGGTAATCAGCAAAAGAATGTCGCTGTTTTACATTCCCACAAAGAAAGTCCTGCCTTTGGCAGAAAGTTTTCAGAATACAACCCCCTTTCCTCCAGTACGACTGCCTCGCTGGGGATCCTCAACGTACGATGTGACCTGATTCCTAGGCAGTCGTTTCCCAGCTCGTTGGTCCTGAAAGTCTTTTCGTAGTCCAGGAGCTTCCACCCTTTTTTTCAGCTCCTTGGTGCGTATCTCACTAGAGATTGATTTGAGATGCGCCATGCATCTGCTCCAATTCAGAATCGTAGTGGCTTTCTGAATTCTGTTTCGCTTATACAATGACCTGTAGAGATCAGGAGTCATGTCGGTGTTTCTATCCTCCCAGATAGGTCTGAAACGTATCCACCAGCTCTGAGGGCTAGAGTGAGGGCGACCCAAGCGGGAGCCGATCTCATATCACCCATGCACCGTAGACGCGTGAATCTTCGTCACCTATCACTGCACCCACCACATCGTGTCCCTAGCGGTGGTAGAAAGTCAGAACATAAGGAGCCGGTCCGCTGGGTGATAGCACCGTATATCAGTAGGCCGAGTTGGGCGCTATGCGCCAGCTCCAGCTTCTCCAGTTGTTGAAGAGGGTCAGCGACCAAAGTTGGTGGAGAACAGTTGCGCCTGCAAACGAAGCGCGCGCTCGCGCTGAGACGGCGGCGAGGTCGAGGAAATCTAGACTGTGAAGATTTTTGAGCTTATCCAAAATGTCACCCGTTCAGATCCATCGCATCCAGGAGAGTCAGTGATTGTGGTGCAGTCTTTGGTACCTGGTGGATTGGCTCAAGCTGATGGTCGGATTGTTCCGGGTGATCGATTGCTCTTTGTCAATCAGCACGACCTGAGCAACAGCAGGTGGGTTTTTTCAGTCTTGCTTGCACTGCTTGTTTCCTCATGGTTTTTTAATTGTTTTGATTGATGGCACGCTTTGTTCTACACAAAACGCGACGCTGAAGAGAATCGTTTATAACGAAGATAACAAGGATCGATTATACACAAGGAGCTTAACTATGACTCGCTGCTAGCCACAGGTTACATTTACCCCTTGCGCAGTAATGCCAGGGGCATTAGATAGCACCAGAAAGCAAACGGGGTAATCAACTCTTGAGAGAAGTAAAGCATTGCAGAACAGCACCAACAGGGACCTGTTAGGCGAAGTCACACTCTTGTTCCGGACACTTGGGGTTGTCCCAAGGAGGGGCTGGGTTCAGAGGGGCGCCCAAGCTAGTTTCCTGCGAATTGTGGGCGCGTGCAAACTTCCCCAATGGGTAGAGAAGAGGCTGCTGCTGAGCCAAGCTCAGCCCCGCTGACACGCCTCAGCATCCGTAGCGAACAAAACTCTGCAACAGTAGAATCCAAGGTAACGCTATCGCAACACTAAATGATAATAATGTAGTGTAAATGTGTAATGCAATTTTTATAGTACCCACACTATGCTCCGCTCCCTTGGCCACGCCCTTTTCGGGGATTTTCAGCTTTTTAATTGTTTAAAAAATTGAAAAAACAGTGAACATGGTTACTCTTATGCGAGATATTTTTTTCTCTCGAAGACCTGATAGTCGCACACAGCCCTGCCCACTACGGAACTCCGCCCAGCTTTATAAAATTTATGGTTTTTTTCAAAAAATTTCATTACTTCAGCCTCTCCTATATCTTGCTCCGCCCACTGGGGTCAAGCCCCGCCTACGACGGGCAAACGATTACAAAATTTTCAGTCACATCTAAAAGTCATTTTGTGCGGACCCCCCCCCCTCCTTGTGGGAAATTCCCCCAACCCTCTAAGAAGTAAACTGTCAAAAGACGATACTGTCATCCCCTACAATGAAAGCTTGGAGAAAAAGTTGCCTGGTGGCTTTCCTAATGATTGGTTCGACTAGTATTTGAGAATGGTTGCTTGGACGATTCCCCTAATTCCATCCTCAAATACGACCCCCTTCCCATGCTACATACCATTTTCCTTTTCCCAACTTCCTACCACTTTTTCCATTTTTTCCCAAAAATTTCCAGTTTTTCAGCCAAGAATTTTCCGTCGAGCGGAGGGGGGGGAGGGGGAGGTCGTCAGGATTTCAACTATCATTTTCAACTGTCGGAAATAGTAGTTGTATAGATCTTTGGCAGTCCCTCTCCCAACAACGACCAAATACGACCCCCCCTTTATAGCGTCCGTGAAACAAGAGAAATCAACTATCAAAAAAATTTTTCTCTGACCAAATACGATCCCCCCGTTGTGATCATCACAAGGATGGCGTGCCGTGGGTGAAAGTATAGCCGACAATAACTGGTTTCCTTTATCCCCCTTTGTTGCTGCATATTGGGCTCCTGGGCTGGGGGAACAATGGAGCTTCAGCAATTGGGTGTTGAATAATGCTCAATTGCGAAGAGTGCGTGTCCTCATTTCTTTCGCTGTTTCTGGGAACCAGGGCAGCTTTCACGAAAATGAAACGTTGGCATGATTCAACCACCTCCCCCCCGTGGATAGAACGAAAAGCTATTTCTACTGCACTCTTCTGGACTACTGCAATCCTTTCACTTGCACGTAGGTATCCACCCATTAATTCTATAGCACATGGCACTTTTACTCCTCTGATTTTGGCTGTTTGGTGGATTTCAAAAAATTGCCCCGGGACTAAACTCCTACAATAAATCTGGCCCAAAAATTGGAGTCGTAAAGAACGAGTGCTTGGCTTATTTGTGAGTTTGGCGCTGACGGCTGACGTCATAAATTCAGCCTGGAGTTTACACAACATCCAGGAATGTTTATGAAAGAGAATTAGTGTAGCGGCTTGTGGGGGCAGCTCCACACCTCGATAATCCATTTTGGGCAACTAGGCCTTTTCTTCAGCTGAGGTTAGTAGTAGCACAAGGATATGAGAGGACGAAACCACGATGTGGTGACTGATTTGGCTCTAAAACCGCCAAGGTGTGGACGAAAAGTTCTCTTACGATTTTAGACAGACACGCGCTGCATGGCGCATCCCAAGGAAGCTGATCTATACTGTTCGCCCTTAGCTTTTCCATAACAGACTTTCTTTTTTTGGATACTCAGCACTCCTGTCCCCCCCCCCTTTTGAATAGGTTTCTCGCGGTGCTCATCGACCGTTATTGACGATACATGTCCGTTCAGGTTGAAGCAGGGCACGTCCTGCTGTGGCAGAAGATTTCCACAAAATACGACCTCCCCCACCCCCAAACATTTTCACCTCTTTCCACACATGAAACAGGAAAGTCAATAAAAGTCTACAATCAAGAAGCATTTTTCCTCAGAGCAAATACGACATCCCTCTTTCCTCTTCCCCCCCCCCTAGTCCAGCCACCGGAACGGCCTCCTCGTCACTGTGGACCCCAGCGTACAACGTGTCCTAAGTCAAATTAAGTGCAAAACGTTTCTGAGGGCAATACGGGGCGTTCCTTCGACGGCAACGTACTCCCGTGTTAACCCTCCTCTCTTATATGTTCTACCCTTCTTTCGCCTGGACCCTTGTAGCGCTCCCAACTACCCCCCATTCTACCGCCAGATATGAACTGCATGTGACCAAATGCATGAACAACTAATTACACTATGGCAATTTTCGATCAATAACGCGGATTTTATTCGGAAACCCTTTGATCCTCTTATCTGGGAGAACCTCTTAGTCTCCTACAAGTGGATTAACCCGAGAGAAAGCTCGTTGATCTGCTTAATGTGGTTTTTGTACACGAATAGCTGACAGCAATACGGTAGCTAGAGATTCCATCCCCGGTTTTCTCCCACTCTGATTCTAGGAAACGCATGCACTTATGAGGTCGCAGCGGTGACTCATCGGGCACTAGGAGGGGGCATTCAATGGACTCCATGTGCAGACTGGGGGCTAACGTCATCCGAATAGGATTACAGTG